TTTTTTTTTTGGTGTAGGGATGATTTCCGTTTTATTTAGTCAAGCCAACTTACATATTACATTTGATTTCAGAATTTTTACTTTACTTGCAATTTAATGTAAAATTTTATCTTCTTTGGATTAAATTTAAATCTTTGCACTCAGTTCCGTTGAATATTTCTTTTTTTAAAAATATAATTCGAGTCTTGTGAGAACTTATTCTTCAAAAATAAATGTCAATAATAAATTGAAGTTAAAATCACGATTTCCTTAAGCAAATATGCAAAACGTATGCTTATTTGTTAAAATTGTATCTTTCAATTGTATTTTCTTCCAATTCTTAGATGTAAGAAAATCGCTTCACGAAAAACAAATACCCGACTGATATGAAAATTGAATTTTGATTTAAAGTAACTATTAAAGCTAACTTTGCTTTCTAGTTGATAAGCATATCAAGAACGTTTAGGAATAAAATTATACATTATTTATTACATTTCCAATCAACCGTCTATATAATTGTGTTTGACCATAGACTTAACTAAAAATACTTATTTTTTTGCAGCTGAAGATTGTTCTTACTACAAAGTGGGCGTTCAAAACTATTTTGAGTGTATCCTATCTGTGAGTAAATTTATTAATTTAATTTTACGGTGCTCATGAAATGATCACTGTAAGATATGTACTATAAATTTGATTAAATATTCGCATCTGTTCAAATAAAATAAAATAAAATAATACATTTCTAAATTACCAGTGCTACAAAAGTTTTTTTAAAAGATAAATAATAAAAATTAATCTACCAGTTTTGATTTTATTTTTATAAAATAAAAGAGTCATATTTCAAAGTTAGAGACTTAAGGGTAACGCAAACAAATTATTTTTTCCTATGTCCATGTATATAAATTTTTTTTCACCCCCGCAAAGTTTGTCGCAGCTTTTAAAACATCTATCAATTTTTAAAAGCTTAAAATGTAAATTTTAAATGGATGCTTTCGCACTTCGTATTAATTCAAAAACAAGAACGGATATTGTCAAATCAGAATAAATTAGTTTTCCAGAATTATTTTTCACTCATTACTTACCTGTACTACTCATTACTTACAGTTTATCAAGTAACACACTCGTTAGAAATCGTTAATAATTCTCAAAATTCACTAATCACTACTACAATCATTTTCATTGTAATATAATGATGTTTTAATTCAAAAATGTATTCATTAATAGGAAATTCGCTTACGATAAAGTTGCATATATTTTTTTAACAATCATCGTGCATAGTTCAATGCAAAAAGCATTTTGCTGAAGAAACCAAATAGTCGAACTTGATTGGCTTTCTTAATCAACAAGTGCCACTTCTTATCTACGATGAATTCACTTGCCAGAAATATTTCTTAAATTACAATTTTTCTTAAATTTCATTAAAAGCCATTAAAACTGCATTTCATAATTTACTGATAATTATGCATATTATAGTCCAATTATGATTATTAGATAAAGATTTTTATATTAGTTTAAAAAAATCAGATTTCTCAGGAAGAGATCTTATTTTTATCTTATATAACTACAAAACAATAACTTATTCAGCTAAGCTTTTAAATTTTTGTATTAATATTTTTTATTAATAATATACTATATTAATAATGATTAATTTAAAAAAAAACTTTGTAAAATAAGTAATTATTGCATAGTTATGTTAAGAAATATACATTATTACAAGGAAATTTATATTTAGTTCTGAAATCATGCAATTATTATTTCATCAAATTTGAAGGTAAGAAAATAAAATTATAATGGGTTAGCAACAAAGTTCTCACAGTTTGAAATTTTTTTTTGAAGTTCAAAGCTTGAAATATTCGATTTTTTTAGCCTGTCCCGCTACTGTTTGATATGAATTTTTGTGCAAAATTTAGCTTAATTACTATTCGTCCAACTCAACTGGGTGACCAGAATTTCGGCCTTTGAAGTCAAAATTTTCATTTTTTAATTTGACATACCAATCTCAGGCTGTTCTTTTAGCTGTTGCACTCTCCCCATACACAGCAGAACAAGCATTTTTTTCGGCCTTATAACCTTGATTAAAAGCAAAAACAGAGGTATCGGAAAATACTAAGTTTTCGAAATTTATCATTCCATTTCGTTGATTTGAAAATTAGCATAACTCGAACAAAAGTTGGGAAAAAAACATAGATTGCTGTTGAACAAAATATCCTCTTTCGAATGATTAAAACCATTATGCCATGGAGAAAAAAAGACCAGGCAATAGGTTGATAAACGCCTCTAAATTGACCAACAATTTAGAAATTGGAACATGACAAACTAATCGTAGAAGCATTGTCATTGTTCCTAAGTCCTATCTTAGCAATACATACTATAAAAATCTATCTATCTTATTATATAAAACGCTAATAATTACGTATGTATGTATCAATAAAACCGATGATATTTCTTTTCTCGCGCTGGCAACAGTTTTCATTTTTAATTGATTGGATTCGGCGCGCAAGAGCACGTAGTGAGCATCATATGGCTAATCCATGTTATATAAAACGCTAATACGTTTTAATTGATAGGCTTCGGCGCGCAAGAGCACCATATGTTAACAATGACTTAAACAAAAAGGTTTATTTTAACTGATAAATACTAGAGAGCCTAGAGTAAAAGAGAGTGGACAAGGGAGAAACGATTCCTGATTGGTGGACAGAAAAACTTTACCGCCGGAGGCAAGAGTGGAAAATTCGCCATTGGAATTACATGGAGTGAAAATTATCTGACTCAAAAAAATTATGTTCTGTATTAATAAATGCATGTAATAAGTTCATTACTTACTTTTTTTCAATAAGAAACTTCACAGTTACAGTAAATGTTAAAATTATGGCTGAAAATTTGGATAGTTGTTAGTTATTAGAATTTATCCTTATTATCACTTACTTGCGTGCATATAAAGTTATGTTTATCTCATTGTAAAGAGAACAAGGTGATGAAATAACTAATGGTTAGATAAGAATAAATGTATTTACTTTTAATGCACATAATTTCTATCTAAATTACTTATAAATTTTAAGATTTGAGCATCTTTTTATCAAAACTTCAGAAGTGCAGAGTTTGGCGATATTACTTTGACATGTTGGCGCGTTACAATGTTCGCGTTACAATGTTACAATGCGCGTTACAAAGTAGCATTTGTTTACTTTTCGTTACCAACTGTATAAAATGCTAGTTTGTTTTAAATTTCAACTAATTATGGAAATTTTTGTTTACAATTTGTTGAAATAAACAATACCTTTTCAGGTGAATATGCGATAATTTTTTCCTGAAAAAGTAATAAATAATAATAAATTATATAATTTGTTTTATTAATTATTATTTCTGAAATAAATGGCATAATCATTATTAATTTTTATATTTTATTTAAGGCATTTATTAAAAGCTGAAGTCTTTTCAT